ATATATATATATATATTTATTTATTTATTTATTTATTTATTTTTTTTTTTTTCCTGAGTGCTAAGAAGTTATCTTCACTGGCAAACCGCCAAATATTATCTTGAGTTGGTAATGGAATTGAAGTGACAAATATAGGCTAGCTTATGAATTCTGGTATGTTTTGTTTTTGGTATGGTATAGGATTTGATCGTAAAATAAACTAGATTTTATTTTCTTTTGATTCTTAATACTGTTTAGTAATGTTCAGTGTACGTTATCATGACATTGGTGGATATGCCATTAGCCACTTATTTAAACACGCTTTCACATCTTCAACCCAAAATGAAATAGCTGGGGAGGATAGATGTTCCATTTTTTAAAATGTGATGCTCAGACAGTGTGATCACAGACGCATTTGGCAAAGATCAATCTAACACCGTTAATCAACGAACTTGAAGTGAAGTTTCAATTTGGATAACTGACTTCTTTGTTCTCAGATGCTTAAATTGAACTTTTATTCAGTTATGTCATTGTGTCCACCTCCATCAAATACACTGACGGAAAATCCAACGTTACAGGCAGAAAAGCAAAGGTGCGCTTTGAGAACTGTTAGTGTGTCACTACCTTGTGCCCTCGTAATGCAATGTATCCAAATGCTTTTGTTAATAAGAGAATGAAATTCACAGATTCTAGCTGGTTTTCAATCGAGAAACAGTTGAAATACTATTTGATCTTCATGATCTGGTCTTTTAACCATTCAATGATTTGAAAACGGAGAAGGCCTGAAAATTACGTACTTTAGTTGCAGGGAAGGACATTTTCAAAATTTAAGTGCAAAAAAATACCTGAAAATTACTGTATCCATAGAAGTGGAGACTAAAAGAGGTTAACTTTTTTCTACAAAAGGTTTAACTTTTTTTCTGAAAAAGTGGCCATTATAGATGTCTGTTAAAAAAAAATCTTAATCTTTTAACTTATTTTCATAATCTTCACACTTTCTTTTCTTTTAATTCCCTTTTCTTATTTTTGGCTAGTTTCAAGCTTAGTATATCAACAGAAAAGCCTCTTTTTGCTTTGCAAAAGTGACAATCTTCTTAGAAAGTTAAAAAAATGTAAAAATGACCGTATATTATGAAAATGTTGTCTTTGGACTTCTAATTAGCAGAGGCTTCATTACACTTGTGCAGCAGTGGACTTGACACACTCTGTAGCTTATTCTTTTTTCCAAAACTTTTCACATTCTTCTTTTTGGTACGTTGTTATGTGCAGATGTGGTGCTTGATTTTGGGTCTCAGGTTGGGTCGAATCATGATAAAGAAGGTTTGATAGTTGTATAATTCACAAGTGGAGAGTCGTCTACTTGCAAAGTAGATGAAGTGGTGATCAAGCGCCCATCTTGCGCCAACAAATATCCAATGGCATAGTGTGATGCGTCAGCATAATACTGAACTTCTCATTCTGATCCAGAAACCGAGGGACTGGGGCTGACAGCCTGAAAGGAAACACTAATAAAGCATATACACAAATTTTATGTCTAACAGTAACACCAAGAAACAGATCCTAATTGAGAATTAAGAGAAATTTAGCTATAAAATGGACTTATTTTTTTTTTTCTTTCGCAAGGAAATTAAGAAAAAAAAAATTAAATGCTGCAGACGTCTGGTCTCTGTTGATTCTTGCCAGTAGGGATTCCAGGTAATGAAGAAAATCCATATGTATTACTTGAACCAAAGAGCAGTTGGGACTTTTTGCAGTGAGCAACGGCTGCCTCAATTGAACCCTCAATTTCTGTTGCACTGCTATTCTTGAGGAAATGAAACTTATGAAAAGCATTCGAATTAAACGAGCAAGATGAGGATAAAGAAGAAGCACCTGACGAAGAATTAGATGAAGATGAAGAAGAAGAGCCCTTAATGTTTATTGCTCCAGAGAATGAGGACCTCCTAGGTACATTATTATCCTCATGAATCCCCTCTTTCTCTATGCTCTTCAATATAGTAGCTGTAGCTAGACTTGGATATGCTGCAGCTCCTTCAATATGTCCAAATGGCTTCATATTTTTGGTCAAATTTTCAGGTTCTACATTGCAGGCTGCAGCCTTGGCACAGGAAGACTCATCAGATTTACTAAATAAAGATTTCAGATATGCCATTAACTTGGGACCAACTGTAGAATTCTTAATCAACTTAAGCTTCTTGAACCAAGATTTCTTTGGATGATTATTACGGATAAAACTGCTCAATTCATTAGACCATTCAAAGAAATGCTCGTCCGGGTTCAGTTCACAACTCACCCTGCAGAACTCTGATGGAGATTTATAGTTGCCCAATTCTTCTAGTGGGATACTGGAAGGTGCCTTCTCTTCTTCAAAAGCCTCTTTTACATTCGAGCTTTGGAGAAGTAGTTTTTCGAGCATTCGCAAACGGGGAGAAAGATGGAGAGGGAAAAGTTTTCCTTTATAGAAGAGTTCATCAGCTGGTGAATCTGTAGTTTCTTTGGAAATTGAACACACTTGAAACTCAAACTCTCTGCTCTGTGGTGGAGAATAGTTTGTCGAACAAGAAATTAAGTCCATATCTATGTACTCTTCATCTGAAGAATCATATGACGGAAGAATTGAGGCCATTGATGATTATGGGGAGCTCAACTTAGTGAAGGTGGATGAAAGGCAGAGCATCCGTTAAAGGAGAGAGAATTCCAAGTGTAAGGAAAAAAATTGTCAGGTTTCCAAATAATGATATTCAGTAAAAAAATCCTGTAGGAATTTTTTGCATGGCAGTAGAATACTCCTTTTTTCTTTTTCTAAATCTACATAGATTCATACAAGACACTTAAACAAAATATCCAAGGTCATCTACTTTTACATGTGTTATAAAGGTATATAAATTCAGCCACCTGACAAATGATGGATGGTCCACAAGAGTTCACATGGCCTTGAGAAAAGTCGCCTTAAGAGTTAAAATTATGTTTAAGCTTGCCTCAAATTTCTCAAAGTGATGCTTCATGAATGGTGACTACGAGACAATTATTACTTCTCTAGATACATTTAACGTAAGGCGTAGATTTGCTAAATATGTCTGCACTACAGTAACGGGGATGTTGATCGCTAAGATCTCTTCAAGTTGTCGTGTGTTCACACCTAGGACTTCGTCTACATGATGAATATGCCTTTCCCCACCTTACTCCATGTATGAGGACACTAAGAATTGAGCCAAACTTCTTGATATCAAACCAAAAACTGAATAGGGCATTGGGGTGTGCTCAGCCATCTAGCCCTTCCCTGTGGAAGACCTTTCTTCTTTTCTAGATTTTAAGGCTTGATTCTAACTTTGACAGTTTGCGTTGAAATCTCAACAATTTCTAACGTCAACACACGCAACCACTTATAGTCATCAACTTCTTTAAAGTTTTGATCTTATTTATGATTTGATGATCAAATAGTAGAAACCAACTATGACGGTTTGCATTTTATATGTTTAAACTCCAAACCAATGTGAAAAACGAAAGTGAGTTAAAAAAGTTTACTTTATATTTTCTATTACTATGAGTAAAGATTATCTAGTGTTGAATATATCCCAAAAGA